TTTTTCATTTTTTTTTTATTTTTAATATAATGTATTCATACTATTTGATTTAAGTATTTTATTTTATCAATTTATTAATTTTATTCTTATTGTAAAGATATAAGAAAATGTGTATAAGAAAATGTATCATTTTTTGTATATAAGAAAATTATAATTTGAGATTAAACAATAAGATTATTATATTTTATTTTATTTATACAATCTATTGGTTTAATTAATAAATTGGATTTATATATGAAAAAATTAGAATTTGTGTATTCATACTATTTGACTTAAGTATTTTATTTAATCAATATTTTGATTTTTATTTTATTGTAAAGAGAGAGGATACTTTGTATATTAGAAAATTCTAATTTGAGATTAAATAATAAGATTATTATATTATATTTTATTTTATTTACAATCTATTGTGTGTGATTTAATTAATGAATTTAATTATATTTGAAAAAATTAGAACTTTCTTTTTATAAATGAATTATTTTTTAAATTTATACGAAACAGAGAACCCTTGTTTATTCGTTGTTGTTTCTTTTTTTTTCTTTTTTCTTTTTTTAGTTGAAGAGATGGGATTCACATATTCATCATCTTGGATGATGATGATGAGAAGAATACATGCATAGTTTACTAAGGTTGATGAAGAAGAACGTATTTTATTTCTGTACTACACGACAAATGTAAGAAACACGTGTTGCATTTTGATGAAACCTTGGCCCGGATCCTTCAAATTATTCGGTCCAATCTCCCCTGTTTCTTTTAACGATAAACCAACCATGACGAGATAAACGTTTGAGATTTCACGATAGATTAAGATGCATATTTTTATGCTATGTCATTTATGCAACAACTATAAATAATAATTATTTTCATTTATCTATCGAAAAAAGAAGAAGAAAAATTCGTTTAGAAAAATGTTCATACTAGCAATAACAATTTTTTTGCAATAGGAACTATTCGTAGTATTATAAATTCATATAATAAAAAATTATAAATAATTATATAACTATTCAATTATTATAAATTTATTTATAACTAAATTATTAAATTAAATTACCAAATTATTAAACTTATTTCTAACTAAATTATAAATAATATTCTATACTAAATAATAAATAAAATTTATAACTAAATAATGAAAAACTATAAATAATTAATATAGATATTAAATTATTATAAACTTATTTATAACTAAATTATTAAATTAAATTACTAAATTATTAAACTTATTTATATCTAAATTATTAAATTAAATTACTGAATTACTAAACTTATTTATAACGAAATTATTAAATTAAGTTACCAAATTATTAAATTTAATTACCAAATTATTAAATTTAATTAAACTAATTATTATAATTATTATATTAAACTATAATAATAATAATAAATTTATATTTCAATTTATAAATTCCTCTTTGTTGTAACTAAAAAAAAAAAAAAAAATAATTAAATACTACGAATTATAAATAATTTTCAATCTTGCTGCTTACCTTTCATTATGGTTTTATTTTTAAAAAGCAAAAAAAAAATACAAATTTGTAATTTCAATTATTTAACAAATATTTATAAGGGGACTTATAAGTAAAGGGAGTAAAAATTAGGATGAAATGGAGATAATAGAAAGAATCAACGTTTGAAATCTAACAAAAAATGAATTTATTCTTCATATCAAATTATTATTATCATTATCATCATCATCATCATCATTATCATCATCATCATCATCATCATCATCATTATCATCATCATCATCATCAATGTTATGATAACAAGTGACTAGCACTTTAAATACAGCGACCGCAATTGTCCTGCCGGAATTCGTGAAAATTCATCGGTTAGACCGTTACACACTTATACATATATATATATATATACGCATACATACATTCGAACAAAAACCACACACATATTATGAGATATGACCGATATTATGAGATTTTCAATTTCGCGCGCATTGGAATGTATTTTTTCTTTTATAATATTAGAGATGAACAGATCGGTCAATTTTTTCCTGTTTTTATTTTCACTTTCACTCTCGTGTTTTTTTTTTTTTTTTTTAACACATACCACCCTAATAAACACATACACAACAACACACATTTTTTAGAATAAAAAATAATAAACATTTCTTTCATGCCTGTCAACAACAATGTTTGACACACAGAGAAATTCGGTTTCCTTTTTTTTTATAATAATAATAATAATAATAATAATAATAATAATAATAATCGCATAACTCGTATTTTTGTATATTTGTGAGAGTGTATATTAAATGTTTGTGCGTGTGTGTTTAAAAGAAGTGGAAAAAAAAATTATTTAACGAAAATAAAAGAAGATGGATATTAAAAAAAAAAAAAAAAAAAAAATTCATTTCTATCCAATATTTTTATTTTGTTCAGTGCTTTCTTTTTTTTCTTGTTTTTTTTTTTCTTTAATAGAACGTAATTTTTTTATATTTTCTTTTATAAATTTAAAAAGAAAAGCAAAAAAATTTATTTTGTTTATATTATATATTATTACATATTTATGTATTTTTGTATGTGTAGAATATTGGGAAACCCATTCTCCTTTAAGTTTTTTCGTTAAATTTTATGAAATACAAATAAAAATCAAGTCTAAATGAGACTCTTCTTAATTTTTTTCTTTTACTGCTTCATCATTCATTATCAATTATCTTTGTTCATCTTGTTCATCTTTCCATTCTTTCCTGTTTCCTTTTTCTTTCTTTTCATATCGTATATATAACAAGTTAGGCTTAGTATAAAGTTAATATATCTGCGCTATTTACAACAATCTTATAAACTAAAAGGTTTCATTATTTAACTTTATTTTTTTTTTCTTTAGGAACATTAAAAATTCGTCGGATATCGATGGACGATTAAAACAACGACGATTTATTACTTTTACGAAATCACCCTCTCCACCCCTCTCTCTCCCCCTTTTCGTGAAAATCCTTTACTCGACTAATAGAAACCTAAAAATATTTTTTTTCTTTTTTTTTTCTCTTTTTTTTTTTTCTTTTTAACGAAATGTTTGAATGAATTTGAAATGAAAAACAATTTTAATAAACAAAGAAAAACAATTAATAACAAGAGTTTCTTTATATGTGTCGAGTATCGAATTCATAAAAAGGTTGGGTTGTATTCTTTTTTGTTATATATATATAATAACAATAACAACAACGACGACGACGACGATGTGATTTTTTTTTTTAAAGTGTCAACCCACCCCCCCCCCTCCTCCCAAGTTCACACACCCCTTAACTCTCATGAATTAAATCGTAAACTCGAATACGTAGAAAAATATTTACAATAATTTAATTGTTTCATCTTCTTCTTCTTCTTCTTCTTTTTTCTCTTCTTCTTTTGGTTTTAATATTACAATTTATGAATATAATAAAATTATAGATTATACCATTTAAATCGGACGGGGAGGGGGGGAAAGAAAATGGACGAAAGACTCACGGGTTTGTTTCGAAAATTAATTAATTTGTTAAGTACAAAATATTTCGAGTTATTAGCACACATTCACATATTACGCATCATACATTCATCAATAATTCTAATTAATGAAATTCGCATAAATTATTCGTATATATCGTCATCGATTATTTTTCATCGAACTTTTTTGTTTTCTAACACAAAGAAACAAAAAAAAAAATATATATATATATATATATACGTAATAACAAAAGAGGTAAATTTGATCGTAAGAAAAGTTTGTATTATTGAAATTCGAAAACAGAAAAAAAAAACAAAGAAATGACGAGGAAAATATTTCAACAAATATTTTATAAATAAAATGTGATACGTCATCTTTTTTTTCGTACACTCACACTCAATACGATAAACGAATGGAAAATTTGTTTCATAAATGCAAAAAAAAAAAAAAAACAACAACAAAAAAAGAAAGAAATAAATAAATAAGAGAAAAAAAATGAATTTAACGCACACGATCGTTTTAAATATCGATCGTACGATTAAATATCCATTTAATAATAATTCTCGTGAATAAATAAGAAAAAACAAAATTATGGTTTTGACCAATAAGTTGACTTGATTGATATATATAAGGCTAGTGTGATTTATTTTTTTTTTTTATAAATTATTGTCCTTTTTTCGATGAACGTGATTTAAACATCATCGTCATTGTTATTATTTATTTTTTTTTTTTAAATGACTGAATGAATTTCTTGTTTTTCTTTCTTGAGAAAATCATCATCATCACCATCATCATCATCATCATCATCATCATCGTCATCGTCATTATTATCATAATCATCCTTATTCTTATCTTAATATTATTATTATTGCTCGGTACATCTCAAGAACGTCATCTTGCACCCTCTCACCCCGTATTGGCACGACGATCGTCTGACTTAACCCGATTTCATGGTTTAACAAAAAAAAATATATATATATGTATATATATGCAATTAGAAAATATATTCGGATTATATATATATAATAGTATTATTTTATATTATATTTCTCGTTCATCATGCTCGTATAAATTTGTGGAACAAATATTTTGTTCGATTTTTATTTATTTACTTAAAAAAAAAAAAAATCATAAATCTCTAATTGTAAACGTTCGTTGAAAAATTATTTTGGTTGAAATAATTTTTGTTTTTTTTTTAAAGTTTAAATACAATTTAAAATTAATTTTTTTAATCGTTCAATTCGTTCAAAAATTATTTCTTCATTAATCTTTATATAAAATATTATGATTATTATTATTATTATCTTTATCCAAAAGTTCGTTCAATATAATTTAGAAATAAAATTCGTGTGAATTATAAATTAATGTAACAAAAAAAAATAGAAAAAAGAAATCGGGTAAAGAGAAAGGATAAGAAAAAAAAAATATATATATATGTATATATGTATATATTACCATGAAAAATAGATATTGAATATTAAGGTTTCACATGATTAGTGTACATCTAAAAAAAAGAAAAAAATATTATAGTATAATAATAAATTGAAATAAATGATCTTTCATGAAAATATTTGGTAAGTGTTAAAACAAACACATAAAATCATGTGTGAACCTTAACAATATCCAATTTGAAACGTTCATAGTAATACATACACACATATATATAATTATATAGAAAATGAAATAAGAAGAACGATCAACGATTCGCATAAACGTTGCTACTGAGGACAACGACGTCGGTTCTTCTACCGGGTTCGTCGCGACCTCCTAGGAGGAGGGCGCATAGAAGGCGTCATATACTCAATGATGGCCTCTTTTTACGATCCTTAGTTGTGTTTTTGCCAAATATCGTACCAAGGACCCTTGATACAGAATGTACACCGAGTTTTCTACGTATCGGTAATGCACGTAACAGTTGAACCGATCTTGCTTCTCTTAAAAGTGCTTGAAATGCTAATGCAGCACCTGCTGGACTTTCGGCAGCACTGACCTCATAAAATTGACATCCGTGTGCCAATGACAGTTGTTGTCCCTCGTCCACGCATACTTCTCTGTAATCAAACAAATAAGAAAAAAAAAACATATTTATTTTCTATTATATTTTTTTATTATTAATGTAAGATTTGTCATAGAATTATCATCGTGGTATCAATTCAATTGTGTGGTTCATTTTTATATAAAATTTAAAGATAAAGTAAAATAATTCATATTTGAGATAATATATTTTTCATTTTATACGAGAAGGTATTAATTACATTTGTTAATTTTTATATGAAATTTATGATACACCGTAATTTGAATATAAAGATAATTATTATTTATAATATACGTATAATTATTATTTATTCTTCTATAACTTATGTTAAATTATCCAATTATCCAACTTATTAGAANATTGATATTTAAGATTACATAATGTTAATTGGAAATATTATATAATTTTTGGAAAACAAATATAATAAATAACCAAATAATAAATTTGTAATACTAATATATAGTATATAAATTACAAATATTAAATACAATACTAATATAAATTAATAATAACCAAATAATAATAAAATATTATTACAATTAATAATATTATTATAGTAATATAATATTTATAATATAATATTATTAAACACAATTAATAATAATATAAATTAATAATAACCAAATTTGTTATTTGATTATTTATTATATATAGACATAATATTATATTATAGTCATAATTAACAATAATAATTTGATTATTTACTGAAAACCAAATAAATGTCTAAAAAAGAAAAAAAAATTGCGGAAGTTACTTACGACTCGATTTAATATTTAAAATAAAACAATTTACGATCAATTAAATGAACATATATAACACACTATAAATAATATTATAATAAAATTACTTTTATAACTTAACATTCCAATTCTATTTAATCACGCGAATAAAAGAAAAGGGTGGGTTGGTTTAGAGATAATAATTTTGAACGTTTAACAGTGCAACGTTAAAACGCAATGACGTACGTCTGCCAAGTTAAAATATTTACAAATTGGTATTCATCAAAGTGTGTTTTTTCTGTGGAAACTTTTAGTCACATCCTCTTCCCTCTTCCTTCCTGTGAGCAGAGTTTTAATTTTCTACCAAAAGTTACAAATCGTTAAATCAAAAATGAGAAGTAGAGTTTTAAAGTTTTGCCCGAGGGAACAAAGACGAATTGTAAAAGAAGAAGAAGAAGAAGAAAAAGAAGAAAAAAGAAAAGAAAAGGAAAGGAAGAAAATTTGTTGATATGTTTTCTACAGAGGGTGGTGGTGGGTGGTGGAGGTGGAGTGGGTGAGGAGTTGGTATAAAGCGTTCCAGAAGACTTTTCCAGAAATATAACATTTCTCTTTATTCGCGGATTTTATTTCTGACATATCTTTCTCCTACTACTTTCCTTTTTCATCTGCTTGTTTCGAATAAAAAGAGAAAGAGAAAGAGAAAAAGAAGAAGAAGAAGAGAATACGTATCCGGACGTATGAAAGTACTACGAACAAATTGTACATTTAAAAGTTTCAAAAGGTTTGTATAATATACGAATCATACAAATTATTTAATATATATATATATAATTAAATATTATAAATACTTTTTAATTTATTATATTTAATATATATATTGATAAGTAAATTATTTATTTAATTATAATTAAATATTTATATAATATATATTATATAAAATTAAATTAAATATTACAATTATATTTAATATTTAATATTAAAAAATTTAATTTTGTAATATCGATTTACCATAATCGAAAAACATATATATATACAAAATATATAAAATTTATATATTTATATAACATATATATTTATATTATATAATATTTAATATAAATATTTATAATTAAATTACTTATTTAATTATAACTAAATATTTATATATATAATATATATTATATAAAATTAAATATTAAATATTACAATTATATATAATATTTAATATTAACAAATTTTATATTGTACTATCTATTTACCATAATCGAAAAAAAATATTTAAAAAATAAAATAAAGACAGAAAGAAAATAAAATTAATAAGGTCACAAAAAAAATTAATTATTTGAAAAATAGTAAAGAAAGAAAAATAACAAGAAAGAAAATGACAATAATAGTTACAACAATAATAATAATTCAAAAGATATAAAATCAAAAAAGGATGAAATAAAATAAAAGTAATATTAATTTTACCAAAGAACTGAATAAAATTCTTATAAAGCAATAAGATATATATTAATAATAATAATAATAATAATATGCATCGTATAATCGTATCGTCGATGCTTAACAGAAAAAAAATCTTGATAATTTTTCTTGCATGATCCTTAAAGAATGAAAAGAAATAAGAAAAAGTGAATGAAGAGAGAAAGAAAATCTTATAGTTAGCGTATTTCAGGTCTGTGAGCCATCGAAGCTTCCCTTTCACCCCCCCCCCTCCCCCGTCCTTTCCTACCTCCCCCTTTCCAACTAACAGAAGATATTTATGGTAGCAATTAAATTCGCGAGAACACACGATACTCTTCGAAGGATTCTCTTAGAATTCTCGCAAAACACGCGTAGGAGGCCCCCACCTCTTTTCACGATTATAAATGTAAATGTAAATGTAAAATTGTAAAATTGTAAATGTAAATGTAAAATGCATACTGCACGCATTAAACTTGCACACAAGTGTGTATTCTCTATAAGAACATTAGTTTATCTTTTCTTTCTTTCTTTTTTTTTTCTCTCTCTTTGTTTTTGTCTCTCATATTTACTTCCTAGTTTAGTAATTTGATTCTTGAAGATCATTAAATATTTTAATGATAAAAAAATTAAAAAAAAAAAAAAGAAAAAAAACATATACAGTCAATAGGTAGGATTTGTCTTGAAGTTTAATTACGAAGGATAAAAAATAGAAAAAAATAATAATCATATTTTTATGGGTTCCATCACAATTTAGTGTTAGATATTTCAGTAATATAATAAATATTGATTAACTTATAATATTTTATAAAAAATGATTATAAAAATTTATTATTTATAATTTTTTATTCATTAGGTCATTAACTATGAAATGTCTGATTACTCGGATTATTTTCACCTCGAAATTAGACATTTCATATTTAATGACCGAATATATTATTATTAATATAATTTTAATTATTAATTTAAATTATTAATATTTCATTAAATATATAATATATAATATTATTATTTTATTAATATTATTATTTTTTAATAATATAATAGTATAGGAATATATCTATATATATAACATATAATATTATTATTTCATGTAGGGGGGGGGGCCTTCGGGGTAAACACCCTAAAGGGGTATACCTGAAAAATAAACTTCTTCTATAATATTATTATTTTATTAA